GTGGCCGTCCAGTGTTCTTGGCTTCATTAGAGGTCTGGGGTTTTGAAAGAGCCTCCCTACTCTTGGGTTTAGATTCCTTCTCCTAACGCCCCCCATCCCACTCCCCACCCCTGCCTTCCTCCTCACTGCGCACCTCGGAAGCCAGGGGACTGCACGGAGAAAGGAGGAAGCACACCCAGAAGGCCATGGGACCCTCTTCAGAGGACCTAACACCCCACCACCCCCAGAAGAGCAGCCACATATGCCTCCAAAGGACCATTAGCCCCAGCTGCCCACCGTGCAGAGGAAGGTGCCAGAGCCCCACGGCCCCATACCTGCTTGACCTTGCTCCGGGAGCTGGTGATACGCTCCGTGATGCTCTGGTACGTGCGGATGGCCGTCGTCAGCTCGGTGTAGTGCTGCACAATCAGCTCGTCCAGGTCGCGGTCACATCTCTCGTAGGCTTCTTCGAGGCGACCCTTCTCGTTTTCCCGGTCCTCAACATTGTCACTGGTCGACAGAGTCCTGGCAAAACAGAGGACAGATCAAGCCGAGGAAGACTTAGAGGACAGAGCGCAAGACAGCCGAGTGGGTCAGGATGCGAGGACATCCATCTCACTGAAGCGGGGTGTCAACTGAAGAGACGTACATGCCTTCTCAGAGGACCCCACTGACCCGTCAGAAGGAATTTGTGGGTCTCCAGTCCCAGGAACCTTCCCTTGATTGTATCCCTTGCCATCAAAGTTCCTTTAATCAGAAGGCAGGCGGTCTACATGAAGCCCAGCCTCCACCTGCCACCTGCCGTGTCTAGCCAAAGAGACCTGAGGAACTTCTAGGACGAGTTTTCTTGCAAGAAATGCAGCAAGAGGCCCCAAACCCACACCAAACTTGTTGCCGCTGGGTTGGTTCCGGTACTTGGCTACCCTACAGGGCAAACTAGTACTGTTCCAAAGGGTCCCCAAGAATGTCATCTGACAGAAGCAGATTGGCATCTTTTGTCACCATGGCAGCTGGTGGTCTGCCCCGCTGACCTCTGGGTTAGCAGTCAAACGTTGAACTCACTGCACTATCGAGGCTGCTGAAGCAGGACAGGGGTCCCTCTTCCTGACACTGGACATGGTTAGACAAAGCTGAGCCAGGCGAATGCCTCGGTCACCTGACAGCCACCCGAGGAGAACATGCACAGCCACTGTCCAGCTGTGTGTCACCAGGCCACCAACACAGCAGCCCGCCAACGGCACACCCAGGGTCTCCGGGGAGTGGGGGGCAGGGCGGGGGTACACACGTGTCGTGTCAGCCACGTCCCATTGGCCGTCTGCCCCACGTAGTGTATCCCCAATGAAGGAGCCGTACACCGGGGAACCAGCCCCCCAACAGCTCGCTGGAATGACCTGAACTTGGCACAGAGCCCCAGCGGCCGGACATGAAGTCATACTGAACATATCCTAGAATCTGTGACCACAGCAATCATCTAAGCGACAGTCTCAGCAGCTCCTGCGTTGGCTCTTCTCCCATCAGCGCCCACAAGGCTAACAGCAATCAGCAATCAGCAAGCCCGCGACAGACGCTTACGGAAAACCTTTCTTCCTCGCCCTTGGCTGCACAGCCACACGGCTTCGTCTCCTCTGCGGGCTTCCCGGGATGGGTGTGGTTGGGGGGGGGGGGTAATTGGGGGAGGGAGTTGTTTCTTGTTGTTTTAATTCGGTTCTACTCTCAGAACAAAGGGGCCTTTCCTTCTTATGTTTTCATTCTCTCAGATGTGCCCGTGGATGCGCGCCGCCTGGTTTATTTCGTTCCTTTCTACACTTTGGGGGGGGGCAATCTTGGGGGCGCTGCCCTCAACCAAGAGGCCATCACTGGAACTGCTTTCAAAGATGGTCTGTCGGTGAATCAATGGCAAGGCCACGCCTAGATGTTCGCGAGCAGAGTCCTTCACCACTGTCCTCGCTGGAGGCTCTTCGATGGGGAACATGTAAGGTGACTTCTCAGACAGCAGGCCAGTCTCCGACATCCATCCAACACCCCCAGGGACAACGCAAAGGGGCAGATTGTCTCCCATCCATCAGGACACCTGGGCGGGGGTTGGGAGGGCGGCGCTGGGGAGCGTGAAATCAGGGGACGGGAAGAGGACAGAAAGGTGAGGAGGGAGGCGGGTGGCAGAGGGCATGGAAACAGAAGAGCCGGCATCTCTGGACTGGAACGAAGGTCTGTCCAAATCCTCCTGTCCCATGTCAGGGAAAGACTCCCACGCCAATGCTCAGAGCGCAGCGCTGTGGGGCAACGTGGCCTGAGAGGGGGTCACGACGCAATGCTTGGACACAGGATAATGCACAGCGTGGCTTCTTCCTGTGGTTGCTACGACAGGTCACGTTGTTCTTTGAACGTGACACCTTCTACACTACTCATTCAAGTAGAGCCGAAGCACCACATGCCTTCAGTGCATCTGGCAGGAGGCCCCACGTGCTGCACTCGCTCCCTCCCCCCCGCTTCCCCACCACCACCATGTGTGGAAAGACCCACGGCAAACACCTCACCATAGAGGGAAATGCCAGCCCTGCAGAGGGTGCCTTCTCCAGCCTCAGCTGCCACAGGTCGACTGGACGGGGCAGGCAGAGGAAGCAGGAAGGTTACTAACATGGAGGGGAGGGAACAAGATGGGCCTTCCAGGATTTGAACTCCTATTTTCCGTGTGAGGGCTACCTAGGGAGATGGCATGGCCCGGTTTGTCCCACAGTTGAAATTCAATCTCTGGCTGGACACTAATCTCAATGATACGCTGTCTTGAGCCAGAAATACGGAGCATCCCAAATGCCAAGAGGGCAGAGCGATGCAGGGCTTTTGTTGTTTGGTGGTTTTTAAAGAAGCAGGCAGCGGCATGGATCACAACGACGGTGAACCAGCAAAGAACCCACAACGATCGAGTCCATTTTGACACAACAGCCAACCCTACGCAGGGCTGCGGAGACTATAAACCTCTATGTAGCGGGCAGCCTCCTCTTTCTCCCACGGAGCTGCTGCTGCTGGATCTGAACTGCCGACCTGGCAGTTAACAGCCCAGTGCTCTCTTGACAGCTGGTATTTACAGCAGCATTAGGTGTCAGGATCCAGCTGAGCTGTGTGGCTCACAGACTGCGTTTTATCCTTTGCTGGCCTTTCAGACAAGATGGATGAAGACTAAGAGGGTGGATGTGCTCTTGGATAAGCAGGACCTGGGAGAGGTAAACCTGAAAGAAATGGGGTCAGGACAGATGGTTTTAACATGTCCTTCTCTACATACAACACAGAGCTATCCATCTGTCCTATGTCATGATCCCTGTTAGACTTGTGACTGTGTGTGTGTGTGTGTGTTGTTCGGTGTTTACCTATACAAGTTATGCAGGAGAGTCAATCTCATGGAGACAGCAATGGGACCAATAGGTCCATGGGAGCAGGGAAGGGGAGGAAGCCAAGGGGAGATGAGTGGGGAGCCAATAATAATGACTACAGGGAAATAGTAAGTGTTCTAAAATTGACAAGGAGAGTGTACCTTTTATAGTCACGTAATTACTGAGAGGTGAATGATGGGTAAACACAATAGTGAGGTAGAAGGAAAATATACATAAGTATGTGTGTGTGCGCGCGCGCGCGCGTATTTGTTTATGTACGTATACATGAGCAAATGCAACAAGGAGCAGAATCCAAGGTTTCCAAACTACTGCAATTTTCAGTGCATTGCTCCTGAAGCTAGTATTGAAGATGAAGTAAAATGCCCATGGCCATTGGGTCAGTTCCCAGCAGGGGAGGGCAGAACTGCTTCTTGGACTTCTGCGGCTGTAGGTCTTTACAAGAGCAGAAAGCCGCACCTTCCTCCCACAGTGATTAAGATAAAAAGAAAACCCGCTGCCAACAAGGGATGCCGACTCATGGCGACCCTACAGGGCAGGGTAGAGCTGCCCTTGGGAGGTTCTAAGAGTGAAATGCTTTAGGCGAGTCAGTAGAAAGTCCCATCTTTCTCCCAGTATGTAAGATAAGCTTTTAAATTCAAGGTCATCAGGTCAAGGCTGACCCGTATCAACTGCCTGTGGGTTTCTGACACTGTCACTGTTGACGGGAGTAGAAAATCCCATCTTTCTCTGGAGGAGCTGCTGGTGGTTTCGAACTGCCAACCATGTGGATCGCAGCCCATCACTGAGCCACTGTGCCAACAAGGCTCCTCCAGTATTTAAGATAGGGGGACGAAATTCTC